ATACTGTAGTGTTGTCTCTCTACCACCTCATACTGTAGTGTTGTCTCTCCACCTTCAAAGCTAGGGTCTGAACATGCGGTAATGTCCAATAGAACTATAATTAGACCACATTGCCAATGGAAGGTCTAAAACCTCCCAGACATAGAGCTAGGGCATTCTCCTTGGGCTCCACTAACTCACAATGCAACATAAACTGCTTGAACTTGATTGTGTACTCCTTTATTGAGAGTGTCGCAAATGGTGAAGTCTTAATAACATATTTTGCTTGTAATGTGATGATAGGTACTTGCATTGCATCTCTCTTTTTATCTTAGACTAAGTAATAATTTTATTTTTTACCTCATGATGGAGTAAATGCTTCAAATTTTCCCGCCACTGAAACACACTCTTCTTTAGCTTGATGACAGATAGTTTTACCCTTCTATCATTTGGAATATCCTTGGACTCCAAGACCCCTTCAATTGTCTCAAGTCATTCAATAAACTCGTCTGAATCTATGTATCCATCAAAATTAGGTAGATCCACCTTGCCTCCAAAATCACCCTCTCTTTCTATAAACAATGTTGAATTGACGTGACATCAGCTCTTCATAAATAGAAGCTTCGTGGTGAAAAGGGTTTTCCTCTTTTCCTTCACCTGAGTGGTCACTGTTATTGTCGTGGGTGACTTCCCCGTATTGTCTCCTTTCAAAATCAATGAGCTTCTACTGTAATTGAAGGATTTTCCGCTACATGCCTCCTTGTTAATTTCTTGAGCACCTCGTTCGGGATTTCTCCTTGGCAATATAGCATCTCATTCTTCAAACCAAGATTCACCATGGCTCTGGCTAGCTTTGATACTGATGTTTCTAAAATATGATGTTGTGTTTTCATATGGTTTTTCATGTTTTTTTTGTCATTTTTATGATTTTTTAGGGCACATATGGTGTTATATGCAGTATATAGAAAAGAACTTAGCACTTCAAGCAAAATTGAGCTAAGTCATAAAAAGTGCCCCATCGCCTACATGGATGTGTTCTGACGCCATCATTGAACACTTCAATGCCACTTTAATGGGGGCATCAATGTCAGCAGCAAGAGAAATTCAGTTAAAACCCTGATAGCACAAAAAGACAACACTAGAAGCGAGGGCGTCGACGATTGGGAACAATGTCCTGGCACTAGACCTCAGTAGCATCGCAGCGCCCGAACCTATAGAATGAAGCCCCAAAGTCATGAAAGACGGCGCTCGAGCTCACTGCCGCAACACCCAAAACTGTAGAATGAAGCTCCAAAGTCACGATAGGTGGCGCTCGAGCTCACCGCTGTAGCGCCCCGCGCCCCTTACCGACATTAGATAATTTTGTTGTTTGAGTGACAATTTGATGGAGGAAAAGACGAAACACTCCTATTTTGTGACCATGGAAGCCCCTGAACAATAGAGAGGAGAGTTCAAGATTTTTAGAGGGAGTGCGAACATCATGGGGGAATAGTAGAAGAGTGTTTGTAAAGTGTGTGTATGGGTGTAATTGATTTTACTTTGAGAAAATTAAGAGGAATTCAAAGGGAAAATCATATTGCAGAAGGAAATGGCTTGGAGCAGCAAGAAATTTGATCTAAGTTTATTCTTTTTCTTACTTTTCGTAAACTTTAATGTTCTATCAATGAAACTTCTTGTGTTTTTTGTACCAATGTCTAGAAAATAAATTTTTATATACTACCTTGGATCGATTTGGTGAAATGATTGTTCGATGCTTGTAATTTTGTTAGAACAAATTGTAGCATGTTGATGAGTTAATTTTCATATTTTATTTACTTTCTGGCTAGCAACTAAAAAAGTTAAAATTGATTGTGATTTGAGCTATTGACCATACACTACAAGAATAATTAGGTTGACAAAACTACTTTGTGGAATAGGAGCATTGTCATTAGGAGTTTGTAAACATAAAGGAGAATGAGGAATGATGAGAGCCTTTGCAGGATTAAGGGAACTTAACCATAATATGATGCGCAAATACTTCTTATGACTAGAAATAGAATAAAGAATAATTTGTTTCTGGTTTACAACTACAAAAGGAAAGAATTTGGTTGATAAACAATTGAAATTTCACAAGATTCGGTTCAATGACGCTTTTTATCAATTACAAAAACCCAAAAATCGGTAGGTTTTGTTTTCATAAATTCGGACTTTGGAAAAACCTTTCAAAAACACAAAAACACTTTGGATTGGACCTAGAATCAGTAAACTAATAATTAGAATTCCTTAAAAATTAATCTATTCCTTGTTGGATCGATGCACAGACTCATAATATATATACTACTTGATTGATACACATGTTTGTGCAACAAAGGGTGTTTCACTGCACGTTGAATCAGACACCAAATGAAACCGTTCGAGGGTTCCTAGAAGGTGGAATGGAACATCAAAATGCGCTAGAAAAGTTGTAGGATAGATGGCGACAGATAATCGGTGCAAGCAGAGACGGTCAGCGGCCCAAAGGGAAGAAGAGAGTAGTTCCCTACCGTAGATAGCATACAACGGCGGATTATGATGATTGTGCTGCCAGAAACAGTAAATAGATGGTGCATGGGAGACAAAAGGAGTTGAGACCTGCTGTTGGACAGCAAATTGGAGAAGCTTTGTTCCTATTGAAAACAATAGTCGTACGGCGAATATGTGAGGTACTGAAGATAGAAGGGATCCACCACATGTTCCTAGGCAAGCTACAGGCATACCTTGCAAATGGAATAAGATACAGCACTTTGAAGAACAAAAATTGGTGAAGACTGTTTCAAAATACAAAAACTAATAAAACTAAAAAATTCCAACGACCCGCAACACACATATAACAGTCTTCTAATAGGAAATAACCTAATTAGAAAATAAGAAAATATAAAAGAGATAGAAAGGAAGAAAGAAAAGGAAGGAAATGAAAGAAATTGACGGCAAAAAAGGAAAAAGAAAAAAAAGGTGGAAGATGGGAATAGTGTTGCACTCCCGCAATCGCGGGTTCCGCAAACAGCGGATCACAAGAGTTACATATCCCGCGAGATTACACCCAACAAAACCACGCTCTGTGTCAGTCGAAGATTGCATGAAGTGCCCAGGACATCCATCATGATAAAATATAGCATATCTATAAAAATATCATTCTCTTACCCCACCCTAACCAAAAATGATAAGCAATACATTTTTTTTAACAAGTTTAGCGACTGAAAGCCACAACAGATTGATAGTTGAATATATACTGGCTAGTAGGAGGTGACCTCTTCCTCCTTCAAAGATCAATATGACTTGTATTTCTTGCTCCCACTTCAAAATCATTTGATCACTAATGACGTGTCACTATTGATTATAACATAGAGTCTCCTCAAACCTTAAATTCATCAAGTAAATTCAGCGGCCCTAGAAAAATAATCAAATTTTTCTTATCGAGTTGAGGTTTTTCGATCACATATGACAATCCTGGCGAGTTCGCCACATTGACTGAGTTATCGGGAAATATTTGCATACGGCATAAGCGCAGCTCTGCGTGCGTACTACATTAACCCCGCAATACCCCCATCAAAACAGAACCCTCGAAGGTTATTGAAAGTTATTAGGGTTATATGTTATTGAAATTAATACCTCAATGACCTCCCAATAAACCCCTAATAACGCGAAGCGAAGGTTATTGAGAGGTTATTACACACGCAGCTCTGCATGTGTAGTCCGTATGCAAATATTTCCCGAGTTACTGTCCGGGTCAAATTAGCTTGAATCAAGTCCTCAAGATATATGGATTTATAAATTTCATTTAAATTGGGAAGAATTACACGCATACCACTCAATTCTTATGTATTTACATATCTAACACCAAAACTTCAATTTTACATACATGCATGTCACCTTACCTGTGCATCAAAAGGTGTACCTACATTTTTAAAAGCTAAAATGGTGGTATTTTTTATGTGATATTTTTTATGAGATATAATATAATTTGGTGGTATAAATGTAAGAAGTAAATTTTAGAAAATAGATATGTAAATACACAGGGATCGGATGGCATGTATGTAAAAGCCGCTTTAAATTAACAAAGATGTGTCAAATTATAGAGTTTAGGCATGCAAGAGCAAAGAAATCCAACCAACGTAAACGCCCAAAACTGAACTACAAGTTTCAAGCTCAGTATGATGCAAAACTTATGATGATGGTAGAATAGATTGAAGCAAAACGAGGCAAAAACAAGTTCCAAAGTGATATAGTGTTCATTTTACAATAAACGAGTCCAACAATCAATTTAAAACTACAATTTCTTAGCAGAAACCTTCCTTTCATACTAGTTCCACACAAACTGATTTAACCAAAAAATGGTGATGATAGAAACTATAAAACTTTTACCAGATGAAAACAATAAAATTCATAAATTTGAAATACTAAAAAATTAAAGGGGCATTTGCATACATACCACTCAATTCTTATGTATTTACATATCTAACACCGAAACTTCTTAAAAGAGAAATACATTTTTTCATACTAGGTAAAGTGGCATGTATGTAAAAATTGAAGTGTAAGTATTAGATATGTAAAAACATAAGAATTAAGTGGTATGCATGTAAATCTTTCGAAATTAAAATGCTTGTTCATAACAACAATACAAAAGGCATTTAGTACTAGTTATCAAATGCATGAAGATGCATGCGAATCCAAAGTCAATCAATATAAAGCAGTATAAGCAGATGGTTCAGGGAGACGTGCATTGACGCAAATTAACTCACGCACACCGCTCAAAATGCGTAGTGTGCATCTAAACTGTGCTTTCCTAATAAAATAATGCAATAGCTTTAGTTTAGATTAGCTATTCTTGAACCTAACAAAGAAGATCCGTTAACTAAGGGTTTAAACTCCATAAAACGGTCTGAGTTGGCTAAACTGCAGAGCTTTTAATACTAATAAACAAATGCATTTGAAAGTGAATACTTGTCGTAAACGAAATTGGCCATATTAAGCTTAAAATAGAGTCATAAGAGCATTGTTAAAACCTCAATGCATGAAGCTGCAGCTTCTCTGACGCTAAGATTTGGATCATTAAACAGCTGTAGGACCTATAAATTAACAGCAAAACAATAAATAAACCGCAACAATAGCAGTTTCCATGAATAAACAAATTACAACTAGAAGCAACTAGACAATAGATATTGATAAAAAAAGACAAGTCAGACAAGGCAAAATGTAAAGTTACTGGGGAGAGTAAAACTCGTTGCAAAGTAAGTTCTGTGGATGCAAAGAGGCCAATAGCTGTGGCAACCGTGCGTGTAAACTCTTCTCGGACTCGCCAGCTTTTGTGAGTCCAGGCATAACTCCCAGCCCTTTCAACAATAATTGTTGGCGATGATACCTGTGAAAAAAGTATGTTATTAATTTAGCTGCTCCTGCATCAACAAGGCTGTTTTTTATTACAATCACATAACAAAATCAAAATGTATCCAAATCCAAGACCAAACAAAGCTCTGTTCACGGGTGCTTACTACCAAAAAAAAAAGCAAAACAATAAGCAAGCAAGAATGCCAAACAAAGGCACATCCAACTCCTCCTCATGCAGCTTGGAGTATGAACTCCCTCAAGTAGAATGAAGTTTAACTCTTCAACATCAAGGCGCCATTTGTGTAACGGTGGTTAAGCATGCTCATGTGGGAGGACTCCTAGGATGGGTGACCACCTTGAAAGTTACAACAATGTGGCAAAACCGTGAGGCCATTAGGCCAAATTGAGCAATATCTCAATGAGTGAGAGTTCAGATTGTTACAAATGGTGTCAGAGCATTACGCCAGCCTGAAGATGGGAACGAAGTGACATACAAAACAAAGTGCTATGTCATGAGAACCACCACTTCAGCCCAAGATCGGACAGAGTGCTACATGGTGGGAGGCACCTATTGTTTTCAAATATAGGAGGAGCATTTAACATGCCGTCACTTTCAGTTGCTTTATTACAATCAAAAGGATATGCCATGCTTCATTTGTTATTTTTGAGGTTTGAGATGGATATCATTACAAAATTAAAAGGCTCTACATTCCCGAAAGCTTTTTTTTATAATCATAGATTCATATTTATTAGACCGATAGCAAAGTTTGTCAATTTTTCTTGAATGCAGGTTTTACTAGCCCTAATTAAGAAGCAATAGTGCTAGCATAATTATTGAATGTCTTGCATGTCAAATAGACAAAACTTAAACATGGGGCATGTATTCCTCTCTTTTTTTTTCACTTCTACTCCCTAGGTTGACTAATAAATTAACTTCATACTGCGACTGTCTAAAATTGTATTATATTGGTGGAGGTAGATTATCCAAGGCTCAAAGACTACTGATGCATGTAGCAAACTTTATTTAGGAAAACAATTAGATTACAAGAAATTTATAACCTGTTTTTAGAAGAAATTTTGAAAAATGTTGGTTATAGTAAGTTTTCATCAATCTTCCACCCTCAAAATAATGATCAAACTGAAGCATTAAATAGAAGCCTCGGAAACTACAGAAATTTCTAGTTGGAAAGGGGAAAAATAGGATAATTGGGAAATAAACTCCCTACAACTAAATTCGAATAGCATTTTATGCAAGTTTACAGGCAAAACACCATTTAAGATTGTTCAAAAACTAAATCCTAAAAAGCCCATAAATCTTGCACCCTTTATCACTGCATGCATATTTGATTTTATAGCATCATTGTAAAGTAGGTACATGATTTACATGATAAAGATAAAAATCAAATTAAATAGCACAAGATGAATATTATCATGTTGTGAATGTCAAGAGAAGTGCTTGAGATTATTATGAAGGTGATCATGTCATGATTTGTATACATCTCAAATGCTTCGCACAAACAAATAAGTAAAAAGTGTTTTCTTTTGTTTGAAATAAGAAATGAAACGAATAAATAATAAGTAAAAATCAAATGATTGAATTCAAGGGCAACAAATAAGTAAAAAAATCAATTACATTGCTTTTGTTTTAAATTTGCCTCCTAATATTTGTATATGTACTATTTCATCATTAAAGATGTATTGTATTACAGAGAAATATTTGAGCCTCACATTATCAGGTAATTCCTCTACAAAAGAGAATTCAACAGCAGTTGCTTCTACAAACTCCATCATTCTAGTTCATCTACTTGTATATTGAAAGTGTCTTTTCTAATGACATGATAACTAAACAAAATATTGGCTGAAGAATTTTGGTCAAATGGAAACGCAGACCTTTATCAAATGATACATGGATAGTAAAGAATGAACTTCGAAAAAAGATGATTATCTACTATTAACTTTCCAAAAGAAAAATTCCTTTGCAAGGTAAGTGGTTTGTAATAATAATTTTTTTAAAATATTTTTGTATAAAATAAGAAAGGAAATGAATTCATCAGTTACAACATATGTCGTTTCACAAGTGTCGTTTGAATTGAATGCCCTTAAGTCGCGACTATCAACCCACTTTCCTCGTCCAATTGAAACCATATGAGAGAGCTAGAGAGAATAGAGGGAACGAGAGAGAGCCAGAAGAGGAGAAAAAGGAAGAAGAAGAAAGGGAGGAGGTTACCTTTAATCGAGCCAGAGAAGAGGGGAGAGATCCTGCGGCATTTTCTTCATGCAAGGTAGGATCGAGGAGCAGAGGAAAACACTTCTCACAAGTTTTCAACGCATCCCGGTCGAGTAAATGAAGGACGAGGAGGCTAAGCACTTCTCCCAGTCATGTGGCTCGCAGAGAAAGCATCGAGCTGAAGGAGAAGAAGGAAGATTCGGCTTTCCAATACCCTACCTGAGCGAAAGGAGTGTCTCGTGCCCTAAATCGAGCGAAAGAAAGGAGGAGAGGCAGTGAGTGCCTAAGGAAACTTTCCTTACACAAGTTCGACCGGTTGTGAGGGAGGAGAAGCTCGATCAAGAGCTTGGGGAGGAAGAAAGACAAGTTGAAGCCTTCTGCATGAAGGAGAGCTTGACCGAGCCATATTGGTTTGGTTCGAAAATATTAGGATGAGGTGGAGATAAACTATTAAGTTAGATTAAGTTACTAATTGTAATTGATTAAAATGAAATATCATTAACTTTACATTAAAATAATTTCAATTTTGTTAATAAATATATAAAGATAATCAGGGAGAAAGCTAGAGCACAAAAAAGAGAAGCTCGTTATAGGATGGAATTCAGGTATGAAGCTTAATTTAAATATTTAATTATATAATTAAATAAGGTTAAAAGGCTAATTTAAAGTTTTCAAAAGTTAAGCATGTTAAATTTCTAGGAAATAAATTTATTTTAAGTACAATATTTTATAATATATAGTGATACTAATTGATGAGATAGCCTACATTCCAAAAAAACAAAAGAAATTTGGAAGACTTTAGTGATATAGGTGTATATAAATGTTTATATGATTAAATCAATTGCTAATTAAATAACAAAAGTATGAAAATAAAAATAGTAAGCTTGAAATTAATAGAAAAGTAGATTAGCCCTGAACAGAACCTAATTTTATTTAAATTGTTCCTATAGGTGCACTCAAAAACATAAACTAATGGAGGAAATGATAGTAGATAGCAGCTTCTATTCAGGGCTAATCTTCTTTTCTATTAATTCTAAGTTCACTATTTTTATTTAAATTGTTCCAAGAGGTGCACTCAAAAACCTATACTAATTGAGGAAAGGATAGCAGACATCATTGTAAAGGTGGGTAAATATTTTTATTTTATAATAGTTTGTTCATGTTTAAAAGCAATAATATATGTTTTACTCTTTACAGCATTTATTCTAAAAATGTGGAAGTTCTCCGCTTTCTTTTAAATCTTAACTACAAGAAAAAGAAGTAAAATATCATATATGCATGCAAATAAGTGTCATCTATGGATGGTACTGACAAATGAATGCAATACACCTGTGCACTAAAATAGAAAATGAAATGGTTGTCATACTTTATAGTAGGTTGAAAAAGGTTAAACGTATATTTTTAGAAAATGCACATTTAAACAGTGAATCCTAATAAATAAAAGTGTAACAAAAATAAGTAAAAGTAAACGAAATTGTTTTATTTACTCCTTTCTTTTACTACGCAGTCTTTTACTATTTATTGCTCTTTTACAAAATATTTTAAAATGCAAATTATTGCAATTTAGAAACATTAACCCACTGAGTAGTTTTAACTCAAATCTTTAGTTGCTAACATTTTACAGGAAGATTAATTGTAGACTATATAGACCCCACAGAGTATGTGTGCATGCGTCGTGGAGCGCAGACTGATAAGTATTTTAATTCAATTTTATTTTTTGTTGGATGTAAATGTTTAAATATGAACAATCTGTTGTAAATATATAAGTTTATAAAATAGAGTGGCTCTTTTATGCTTTTCATTTTAATTTTGTTGTAAAATGAAGCAATAAAATAAGTTTCCTCCGTCCAACCAATAGTTCCCGTCTTATTAATTCCAAGCTCTCGGGTCGGGTCATGACATGGTTGTTATAATCCATCCACAAATCATAGTAAATTAGTCTGCAAAAGCCCAATTGACCATAGGCTAACTACAAGATGCCAAATTATGACACAAAATGACTAAAACGGCTTGACCAAAGCCAGATAACCAGGTAATCAATAATCTCAGTAAAACTACACTCCCAAAAAAATTTTTGGAATCAGAATTGTCCCAATGTTTCATCAGAACAAATGAGATGCACATAAGCAATTGTATAAGTACAATAACATCATAGAAAAGATGGTACTGCTTGTAGCTGTACCAACCAATCAATATCAAACAGCAACGAAATTGCACAACCTAGGTTTTACAACATCTGCACCAACAAGGGAGGGAAGAATTTGCATGGCTACAAGCATAAACGTTATAAAAAAACAAAAGATAACAGAAATATATCTTCCAGGGCCGTACAATTCCATTAGACCAATAAGATGTGATCCCTTCTATTATGGTTGAAAGTTTCACGAAACTATCCCACAGCGACAGAATGAAAGACATATAAAGCAGCAAAAAGATACAAGTCATTTTACTTTTTAAATCAGAAAATAATTGGAGTTCTCCCTACTTCGCCAGCCCAAGGCCAAACATCTAGCACAGTAGGAGAACTACAGCTGGGAAAATAATGGGGACAGAAACTAATAACTAAAATGGACACTCATGGTAGCAGAACTACAACCCAAATAAATTAATGTCGAAGGATCCACGTAACAAAGGCACCCTGTATCGCCTGATCATCTCAAATTCAAAAATCCCGCCAAACTATCATTTTCCTCATTCCCATCAAGCAAACAGAAATAATCACATGCAAGCAAGACTTTGGAAGAAAATGCAATGATGACAATAAAGACGTATATAAGTTGGTGCAATTATGAAAGATGGAATTCTTTGCTAACTCTTCATAGAAGCGTTTATGATTCAGACGCTCCAAAATGTGAAGAGTTAATCACCACAATTTGAACGAAATAAATAAAAACCAGAACTATCAGTCATCCTGATAGACTCGACTACTCAACAGCTGGCACGAAACAACAAAACAATGCCGCCGTACAAAGCAAAATCTAACCTCCATGAGCGTGATAAGGAGCTGCCGTGCGGCATCCCGGACGGGCTGCTTGCCATCACCGAGACGCTCAACGATTGTGGGAACAAGGGCGTTAAAATGGAGCTTAAGGTGCTCGCCAGCAAGGACGGCAGCAGAAGAGAGGGCCTGCAGGGCACCCTGTGACACTCGAAAATTGTTATCCCTCAAAAGGTCCAAGCAGCAGTCGACGAGCGCAGTGACCTCGCCGGAGGAGAGACTCCTCCGTGAAGATTCCAGAGACTGGTGAAGGCGCTCCACTGCCGCCAGGCGCTCCTTCGTGTCCTTGGCCCGCGCCATCTCCAGCGCCTCCTCCATCTCGATGGTGATGAAGAAGGAAAAAAACAATAAACCCTAGCCTCAGTGCTTCGGATCTGAATCAGAGCAGCTTCCGCAAAATCGCAGACAGTTAAAGATGGAAATAGTGAAAGTGAATACTTGAGAGGGACTGGAAGATAGAAATTGGTGGGGACGAAGCACTCGGGGATAGCTGGCCGAGCGTGCAAACATGAAGAAATATTGCCACAAGCATGTAGACATAAGTGAGTAGCCAACCAATCAAATGCAGCCTCCTGGAAAGCCCAGCCTCACCAATTTAAGCACAGAGAAATAACAGAAAAATAAAGTTCATATTATTCAAGACCGGCCCGATCTTAAACCCGATCCCGCCTAAAAAATCTTTTCATTTTCTCCGCACTATTACGAGTTTAGGTTTTAGGCTCCGTATCATCTTCCTCAGCGAAGCGCTACCTCCTTTATTGGCGAAACCCTAGGCATTCTCCGGCACGCAAGGGAAGGTGACCATGGTGTCCAGTCGTTCGTTAAAATTACGGTATGCACCTAAACCTAAACATGAAATGCACAACAATACAGCATCAATATCACACAACTAACACACCAGTAATACAACAATAACACAACAATACTACATCAATAATCACACAACAATACTACATCAATAGCACACAAGTAACACATCAGTAACACATCAAAAATACAACAATATCACATCAATACCACACAAGTAACACACCATAGCTTTAGATCAATAGCACAGAAAGAACCCTACCTCAATGACTGCATAAAACCAAATTCGGTTTTAGATCAATAGCACAAAAAGAACTCTACCTCAATGACTGCATAAAACCAAATTCGGTTGACTCACAGATATCTCTATGACACGGTTTTGATGTGTTATTCTTGTATTATTCGTGTGTTATTCTTGTGTTATTTATGTGTTATTCATGTGTTACTGGTGTGCTACTCATATGTTATTCTTGTGTTATTCATGTATTATTGATGTATTACCTCTTATGATGTGTTATGCTTCTGTTTAGGGATATCTAATACACTTGTGATTGTTACCGAAGTGTATTAGATGTGTTATTTATGTATTATTGATGTGTTACTGATGTGAAATTGATGTGTTATTTTTGTATTATTGATGTGTTATTGATGTGATAACACCAATTATACCGGAGTAACTTATGTTGAATTCTTGTTATTATGTTATAGAGGTTTTATTGAGGTGTCACTGATGTGTAAACAAGAGTAACACCTCATGGTGAGTTTCATATAACATGAATAACACATCAATAACATTAAAATGCAGCTCCATATGGTTCTAATAATGTGTTATTTTTTCTTCAATTTGCAATATTATGAGTGCAAGGACTTTCAACTGTACATGTCGTCCATATGCAATGAGAGATGCTTTAGATGCAATTAGAGATCTCTTTTCAGAGGAGACTATTAATAATTTAAAGGAAATGAGGGTGTTCAATTTCTTTGACATGCCCCCATATCTCCAGGATAATGTCATGACATTACATATTCTGAGATGTTGGGATAATGAGAGGAGGGTCTTCAAAATGGGTGGAAATAAGGTTAAATTACATGTTGACCACGTGGCTTTGCTGATAGGGATGCCAAACAGAGGAGAGTCTGTTTCATGGAAGAAATGCCCCTGTCAAATGTGGATGTCACACAAATAAAGAACCAACTGATAAACTTTTTTGCAGAAGGAGCTTCCACTCCTCCATTTGAGTAGTTGTATTTAAAATTCATACTAACTAATTTATTTGTTCCTTAAAGCAATATTCATGTGCCTGCAGAGTTAACTTCTTTTGTTGTAAATGTACAAATTTTTCCATCATTTAATTGGTCTGTTGTCATATATGAAATGATCATCGATCAAGTGAGAACCGCCTGCATGAAATTAAGGCAGAATAAGCCGATAGACTATATTCAAGGATTAGTATTTCTTTTAATGGTAAGTATTTGTTGTTTACATTAAAACATTATTATTTTGAAGTTTTGTTTTGTTATATTAACTTTTACATGCATGTTTATGGTGTAAAACATCATCACATATGGTTTTACGAGCACACGTCTCTGTTAACTCATGTTGCACCTGACACTAGACCTCGCATTTTGAAGTGGCCAACCAATCATGGGTGGAGTGCTGAGAAGATTCATGAAGCATTCAAGAGACTCGATCCTGTAAATCATTTAATGCAATAAAAAATTTGTCATTTTAATGTTTATTGCAGATTATTGGCACCTCTATTTAATAGCTTTTTAAGAATAACTATAACGATTTTGACGCGATATTGACGAATACATTTTTATTTTAGGTAAATAACAGATTCTTAGATTTGAGAGAAGATGAAGTACAGCTGCTCGCAAATCCAGATCAGGGACCACCGAGTCCTGCAAGGCAACTTCCACACCATGAAACTACGACAAGATCATCTTCACCCAGATCTTATGTCAAGGGTACAATTGTTTCTAGTGATATTACCCCAGCAGCTGGACATACGTCAGAGAGTGCTGATTTTGGAATACTATTTGAGATGTTGAATTCTCAGGAACAAATCAGCTTAACTATACTGACCAAAGAAAAATATGTTGAGATTTTCATACCTATTTTACACTGTTTTTGATGATATTGCACTTTAAAGAAATGTATTTTTGATGTTTTGTTGCAGGAATGATGAATTAGTATGTTGAATTATGGTAATTGGAGCAAAAAGATGCAAAAAAAAGCAAATTTGGAGCAAAAATGACCAAAATATGAAGATTTGAACTAGGGAGCCGACGACGAGCCCAACGGCGCCTACGACGAGAAATTCCCGAGACTCCAGATTTAATGATTTAGAAAACCAACCGACGACGCCCTCGAGGCCGCCGACGGCGAGATTGGCAGTTATGTCCAACAATGCATTGGATGATGATGAATTTTGGAGAGATGCTTACGAAACTATTGGAAAAACTCATCCACATCTTTAAAGAGAAGACTTTGGTCGAAAATAGAGTGTCCTGGAGGTTAGAGAGGTTCCATTAGTGTATAGAAAATTTACTAGAGTGTCTAATTGTGAGGAATTCTGTGAGAGATTGTAAGAGTGGAGGGAAAGTTAGAGATTCTTCCTCATTGTCGCTTCGAAGAGGAATTCTGTGTGATGTAAAGAAAGGAAGAGATTTAGAGGAACTTCGAGGAGTTTGCTTGGGGAGAAATTAGAGATAAGTCTTAGTTACTTGTTGTAGTTGTATGACTTTACTTTTATATATGAATTCCGAGTTTTGTTGTGTCTTCCCCATGAGTTCTGAGTAGTTTTCTCTGTCTTTGATCTTAATTTACTTTCAATCTGGTCATTTGATTTGTTAAAATATGTTGAGTTTTACAACTAAAGTGAAGATTGCATCCAAGATTCAAGGAGGTCAAAACCCTTGGAAGTTAGGTGCAAATAAATAGGAAAATAAAATTATCAGGCATAAAATTGGAGATTTTAGAGTGACAGACTAAAATCCCCAATTCGGTCATATCGTTTGGGTGCTGAAGTGTAGATGTTAGCCCTCAGGCGAGGGAAACGTGGAAGCTCCGAAGTGAGAGTCGGTATCTTCCCAGCCTAGCCGCAGATTCAGTAAACAAGTGTAGGATTAGTCAATGTTCTTTATGCCTGAACCAAATGGTAAATAATAGTTATGCTCATATTTGACACAATACAATTTGAACTGATTTACTTCATTCATTCACTATAATTTCTTGACAAGGAGAATGATGTTTTCTTATATATTGAATATTTAAAAACTTTATTAGTATAATTGGTTATTTAAGAGTTTTTAAAATTATATATTTATTTCAATTGTCTATTAGTGACACATAAGCAATTTGAATTATATTATTATGATTAAGTATTGCTTTTCTAAAATCCTAGTTCGTAGTTATAATATTACTCCCTGTGGGATCGATATGTAGGACTCTATTAAAGCCCTATATTACTTGAGCAATATGTATACTTGCGTTGATAAGTGTGACTTTACCAGTATTGAATATTTTATATAAACATCTTTATCGAATCTATAACTGTTGTTAAGTTTTTGGTGTCGTTGCTGAGGAATTAAGTCTTCTAGCAGCAATATTAATTACTTGTATTTTTAAGCATATATAAAGTCGTTGTCATATACAAGATACAGTGACTGACATGAATAGACAGATTAATACTGTGATATAAACACTGTCGACCCTCACAGGTTTGGTGCAGAGATTATTTGAAACTAAGGCTAACAAGGTTGTTGAGAGAACAATGTCCAATACAAGTCAAACTCAACTCCAAAGGAAGAAGTCCAGCAGTGGAAGGAAAAGGACAGTGGACCCCCCAGTATCTCAATACTAGTTCAAAAGATGACATAGAAAAAATGATAATGTGGATGTTGCTAATCGTGTAAATACAGATGTTCCCGGACAGGATCAAGAGGCCGAAGAAACCATAAGACAAACACACGACACAGATTCTTTGTTGCCAACTACAACCTATGTGGATGTTGTTGATCCTACAAAGGATATTATCCATGTTGCTAATCCTGTACATACAGATGTTCATGGATAGGCCCAAGATGCCGAAGAAACAACAAGAGAAGCACAAGGCGCAGTCGAACGAGCAATAAAGGGTGTTCTCGAATATCTGTCACATTCGGTGAGTATATCATTCTAATTTGTACTATATGATATACCTTCCTATTTTATGTTTTCTAACAATTTTTTTAGACGCATCTTGTGACATCTGTTGTAAATACTGATTCAAAAAAGGATGATTCCCAAGAGGCCCAAGTTTCAGATGAACATGTACCGACTTAATTCAATTTAGATGAAGAAAGATTAAATCCAGCTGATTTTGAGCAAATCTCAAGTCAAAGCCACAGTTCTAATGCAAACGAATATGCTATAGTTGTAATAAAAAAATATATCTATGTACTTTGAACCATATCTTATATGTTCTTATTTTATGTGTTATCCATGGATTGTTTTCTTTTGCAACTCCGTCATGCGGCTTCAACTCTTGAGTATCCTGGTAGATCATTGATACCAATTGAAATGCAGAAATAAATAGATCAGTGTCTAGTCAGATACACTGAACGATAAGTAAATGTCCACCACTGTTTTAATGTTACGCAGTTATGTTGTATTTAATTAACAGAAACTTTCTTTCTTATCAATGCAGTGATAATATA